GAACTGCTGTTTTTGGGGACAGGAATTGGAATAGAGGGTTTTGAATGTAATAAGATGAAGAATGTCGATTTGATTGGAAGGGAATTCCAGAAACTTAACAAACGTGCTAATAAAGGAGTTTTGGAACGAGGCAAATCTCGAGCGTGAGAGGAATGTAGAAGGTCCGAAGTCCGAGATTTGTGGAGAGGGAGTGGACTGAGACTTGAATTGAGAAGTTTTAGGCGTAGGAAAGACGCATATTTTGATGATATGATAGAGGAATTGTACCTAGGAAAAATTGTCTTCGAATGGAGGGGAAGAGCCCCTCTAACTCAGTGTAATGTGTAGACATGGTAGTATCTCGGCACCAATTACAAATCTCACGCAGACTGTTCAGTATCCTTTTTCAGTCTGTCGCGGGAGCTCCACCGAGAGTCCATCATACACCACACAGCAGTAGTCAAAGTAGTATTATAGTATACAATAATACAATATATACATGTAATAAATTCCTTCCACTGCCCTAGGGCATTTTAAGGATTGGGGATATAAATAGATTTAAATAGAAATGTATAAATACTTAGTTTCTGTCTTACTTTTAATTTTGTCGCGATGATGAGTGCAACAGTGAACAACTAAAAAACAAAACAGAAAAACTATCAATGTTAAAAAGTTATTATTGCTAATTATTTTATAAATCAATACTAGATAAAAAAATAGTAAAAATGGCAAACATACAATTTAAAAAGACAAATGAAAATTAAACATTGGCCTTGATGACCTAACAAACAAACTTTGATCTGCAATGTGCCAGCTTCAATTTAAGCCCTAAGGGACCTGTTAACTGGTCTTTGAACATGAAGAGTCCATTGAACATCAAGGTTCAAATTGGATTTAATGGAATGCACTACATAGTATTTTGCAGATCTGAGAAAAATTTATTTTGAAATACAGTATTTAAAACACATGATATTTTGTGTTTTTAAAATACAGTGTATTTTAATTTCACAGTATTTAATTTTCTTTTCAGAAAATGTATTTCAAATACAAAATACTTTCTGGTAGACGATCAGCATTTAAAACAGGGAACCTACTCCGTTTGGTAATTTATTTTGTTTATTTAAAATACAAACCAAAATACATTTTTATATTTTGGAATAAAAAAGGAAACACATTTTTTGTATTTTAGTATCTTGGAAATAAAACACAAATACATTTTTTTTATTTTAGTATCTTGGAAATATAATACAAATACTTTTTTGTATTTTCAAAATAAAATACAGTTATAAACAATCATTTTTATATTTTACTTCTTAAAATGCAAAATGAAAATACAAAAAATGTAGTTTGTTTTGTATATTTAATTTGAAATATTTCAAGCCTGAGATCTCGTAAACATTATCTTCGCATAAATAGCAGTTTCATTGATATTTTCTAAAAGAAACCCTAAACAGATATTTCTGGTAAGCTAAAAAAAAATTGTTTTAAGAGACCGTTTCTCTGTAACTATCGAACATAAGGAGCTCTTATACTAGGATTTAAATTGAAGCTGATGATCAAATATAGTTTGTGATAATTCTCTTCATACCAATACCTGCTTCCTTGATATTTGCAAAATTGCACTATAGGATGAAACAAATATGAATTTTGAATTTTGTTAGCTTTGGCGATGTCCCGGTCCCAACTTTGCAGACATAATACTTTGGTTTCAGGGACTGTGCGGTTGTTGTTTTTTTCGACATAAAAATACACCGCGGCCTCATAGAGAGCCTATTGTGCGTCATCCTAAAGCTCTATTAAATCAGGCCTTTGCACACTTGCTAAGACTAATGGGATTTATTAGTTCCCAGCGCATAGAGTCAGTGATATGATAGCATCCAAAGGGAAAATATGGCAAACCACAGCCCAAGAGGTCTTATTGAGTCGTCAGTGATCAGTATACAGTGCCGTCACACACCTAATGGTGCTCCTGTCCATTAGAAGAAGTAATAAACTTCTCTTGTGACAGCTTCCTGATATTAGGAACAACTTAGAGTGAGTCTGTTCCCAATGGAGCATAGTTTTGTAGCCAACTGCCTTTTGGCATAGCAGAAGCTAATCCCACAGATGGGCTCTGGTGCAACCGGCACTTGTGCTGAGCCCTTCCTAACAAGGCATCAGCTTTCTCATTGCCTGGAATACCTCAGTACCCAGGCACCCATTCAACTCTCGCCTTGTTAGTACAAGACCTGGAAGACGAACGTATGTCGGCCTAGAGATATGATATGATATGAACCTCATTAGGTTTATCCTTTCTTCATAGGTCGGTCCATTACATGGTCTATGAAAGTTATCTTGCCTATCCATAAAGTATGTCTCTATATTTATTAATTTGAATGTCTGAGTTTGTCGGGAGAATCTCGCTACTATAAAAAACAATCCCATGTCCCTGAAATGTCAGGAAGTCCGAAATCATTCCGAATTTATCCATTCTATAGGCAGTTCTAAGAGTATCTGCTTCACCTATATGTGCAGTGGTGTTCTGGTCCAAGAGAAATTTCAGTGCAGCAGTGGGAGTAGTGCTCATAGTAGTCATATAGCATGCAAACCTGTGAAGTTTTCCAAGCAGTACTCTAGGCTTACTTGCAGCAGCCCTATGCTACCACACTATAGTCGCATAAAGGATTAAGGGTCCAATTGCAGTCCTATACTGTGTTTCAGCCCCCACGATTTGCTGACAGCTCTTCTATACGCCCATAGCGTCACAGTGGAGAACCTTACTACTAATCTTTGTACTTAGCCAATTCAACTTACTATCCAGCGTAACCAGAATGTTTGAAGCGGTCAAGAGAGGCTTTCTGAACAGAGAGATGGACAAGAAAACAAAAGTGGTAGTATTTAGGTCAACGTTTCTCCCCATTCTGATTTATTCTTCGGAATCATAGACGCTAACAAAAAACATCAATCAGGAATAAAAGCGTCAGAAATGAGATTTGCCAGAAAAATTGAGGGGAAACAAGAAAAGACCGAATCCGCAACACTTCAATTAGGGCGAATCTCGACATTAAACTAGCCTATGGAGTTATAGAGGAGAGCAGATTAAGATGGCTGGTACATCTCCTAAGAATGGAACCTACCAGAATTGCTATGAATGTCTATCAAGCCAAGGTTGATAGGAAAAGGTTGACCAAGAAATAAATGGGAAAATGAAGTAAAGAAGGATTTCCTGAAAAGAGGACTGCACTGGAATGAGAGAAGACATTTGGTGGAAGACCGGCAGAGCTGAAGAAAGCTCTAGACTTTCTACTCACACTACATAGGCGGGTGTAGAAAGTCTATAGGAGAGAATATGATGATGATCTAGAGTAGCCCAAGATGTATTACTTCACTACAGATAATTAATAGTGACCCATTTAATGATGGTGGTCTAATGTTCCTTCTGTCCTTTCCATTCCATTCATTCTGTCAGTGAAGAAACATAGATTAATCTTCTGTGAATTTATGTCAAGCACATTGTCATGGGACTATTCTTTTAGAAGTTTCATTGTATTGACGAGCAGTCCAGAGATTGTGTCTGGAAATTTGCCTTCTATCAATAAGGTAATATCATCAGCATACCTCTAAGAATAAAACCCCGTCTCATTCAGTTTAGCAATCAGGAAATCAAAAACCAAGCACCACAATAGTGGAGACAACATACCCCTTGTGGACATCCTCCAACATGTTTAACCTGCAGATTAAAGGATTCTCCACCTAGGAACCAAATTAATCCATTCTGAAGCCAAGAGTCCAACCCAACTAGCCAAGGCCCTATAGGGAGTACGATCAAAGGCACCTTCAGTGTCGACAATGATGCCCGCCATGATCTCTTTCTGCGATCGACTTTTTTCGATTCTAGAGACCAGATAATGCAACGCTGTCTTATAAGATTTGCCAATGACTGTGCAGTTTCAAGTTGGCTTGAAACAAATCATTGTCAAATAATTCAAGTTCCAAATATCAATAAGGGTAATTTTGAAATTTCATCACAGAGTTTGTAGCCTAATGCAAATTAAATGCTGAGTATCAACATTATAACAGGGTTTAGAAAAATTTTTCTTCTGATAAGTAACAAAATTTTGAATCAGCTATTCGACTATACATATTTAATAGAAAAGCACTTTTTTTTATTAAAGCCGATTACTACAACTATATAAAGGAATCAAATTTCATTGGATAGGTTCTGTCCTATAGTTATAGAAAGAAAAAAATAATTTTTTGTGGTTAAGGCATAATGTACCTATCTTAGTAATCAATATCTCATTAACAGGTGGTTGGATTTTATTACTTGTTTTTTTGTTCTGTAAGATTTTGGCCCCTAATACATGTGTGCTGAATCTTCTTTGTCTGAATTATTCTCCTTAATGGACTTCGCTAGGGGTGCCCATTCCCCCAAGGCCGATGGTGCAATTACCTAACCCCCCCTCCTCCCAAGATATTTTATTGCTCACCTTTTTTTAAAACCAAAGCAGCTAAGATAAAATTAGAAAAATCGTAGATCATATACAATTACACTTGCTGCGGTATGTTTTCTCCTTTTCCCTTAGTCTGAAAATTCAAAACCCCATCGAAATTTGTTCCCCTCAAAAATTTTGATGGCTCAACTTGTGCCATGAAACTCCCTTCTGGGCATCCCTGGAGCTGTCCACAACAATTCTGTTAGAATGTTTATTTAACATGCACAACATATGTGGATGTTTCAAGGACATTTTAATTTTTTTGTAATTGTAGTATTTTTGCACAGTGTTTTAACTTGATTTAACCAAATAATTATTATCTCATTTTAATAAAAAATGATTGGATGTATAGAGAATTAAAATTTAAAAAAATAAATAAATAAGAGTGGCTAAAAACTAAAGGTTCACTGACTGGCCTGTCAAGCTATAAATATCTCAGATACTTTATTTTACCATTTTTGTGACAATATCACATAAATTAAGAGCCTGAGTTAGAGATTCCCAATTTTTACTGATGATATTAAATATTGCCTTGTATCTGCATAGACAAGAAGTTATTTATTCCGGGAAACTTATTCCATATTCTTATTAATTGCTGCATTAAGAAAAGTATTACAAACCTAAAATAATAAGATCTGTTTTTATAAAAACAAATGGTTGTTAATAGAACACGATGAAATTATAAAAAAGGTATTTATTACCTCGATACTTGTTTAAAACAATGGTAACATAAAAATGGCATTCCTAAACAAACACTTACAGAAGCAAGACATAGGTATCCAACCTTTCATTACATGTTGTGCAACTTAAATAGGTAGGGTGAAAAATATTATATACATGTATAAAGTATTATTAATAAATGAGAAACTATAATAATATTTTTAAAAAACAATAATTATAAACATATATAAACAATAAATATAAAATTATAAGTACACAGATTTTAATTCGTTTTTTTTTTAATTTAGAGAGCTAAATATATGGGAATGGTTTTACAACAAAAAAACAATCCCTTAGTACTCCATACAATATGTGTAAGCAATTAAACAAAAATAAACTTATTAATAAATATAAAATAACTTTAAGAAACTATTTCATAAAATAAAATAACAACATAAATGATAACAAATGTCTTTAAGAAGTTAAGTTAAAACAATCACAATAATGTTAATTGTGAGAAATGAATATATAGTTCAACTTTATCATTGTTAATGGTATTGTCATGTTATATGTTATCTAAATGATGGTTTAGACTAGAATGATATACAATTAAAATTTAACAATTATAACTTATTATAAATCCTATTTTTATTTATATTTTTAATATTGCAATGGTTAATAAATCTTTTTTTATTTGTGATTTGAGCCTTATCCATAACAGCAATCACATAAAACAATGAAATAGAAAAATCTATGGTCCCTGTCTAAAAGCACCAATCATTTAAATAGTGACTAGCTATTTTTAAGATTTAATAATGAATAATTAATTAGGTTAAAACGTATGGATAGTAAATACATAAATGTAATTCATATTATATCAATCAAAATTCACTCGTAATACAAGATTTTAACACCTACCAATTTAACAAATTGCTAAAAGTGAAATTATAATTCTATTCATAGAAAAAATGAATGTGTAAACTCAGAATAAAACTATGAAAAAATATAATAAACAATTATCAATCTATCATTACCTCAGATCATGTATTTTAGTAAACAATGTTACTCTGTAATATCACATAAATTTAGAAATTGTAAAGTATAACTTTACCTATAAAATTGTTGTATTATACTCTATAAATTAATGGTATGTAGAAAAAATAAAAATAAATAGCACCGGGTATACATGTTCCGCATTTTTTGTACAACTTAGTTATTATACTATAATAGTTTAGAAAGGCATTTTTCCATCAAGGCCAATAATTCAAAGCAATAATTTTTAATTGTTTAATTAATTATAAGTAACTTTCTTTTTCCTTTTTAAACATAAAATATTTATTATTTATTTATTGAAGAAAAATAAAATAAAAAGAGAAGTTAATGTTAAATTATCATAATTTATAATTAAACATTAACAGAAATCTCTATCTATCAATAATCAAATGATAAGCCTTGATATTCGCTAAAGCAGTCGTGTGGAAAAATGGCTTTTGTTAAGGCAACGTCTCCCCTTACACCCATCAAAAAACAAAGTATTAAATATATTTACAAAATATTTAAGTATATAAATATGGTATATGAATTGTTAAGAAATTAGGCCGTAGCGATTGCCTACAGGAACCGAAAGCTATGTCTCCGTCTTAAAACGTCAGTCGCAGCTGTGGCAGGAATAGGGTTTCCCCTTGGCTACTTCTTATTTTGGTACAGTCAGGCTGGGTTTGGTTTCCAGCTTCCTTGTGAAAAATGGGCTCTGGGTTACTGAACATCTGAAAATTAATGAAATATAAGATTAGTATCTGAATAGTTTTTTTTTCTTTTTACAACTTCACAGCATTGTTATAAAATAATACATTTGGCAAATAATACCAAATGAGAGTTTTGTGTGAACTGTATATTTAAATTCAAGATGAAACTGTACAAACAATATGTCTGAAACAGCAAATATGAATGCTAAAACAAACCATGCAAAAAGTCAAACTCCTCCCAATTCATCCCCTTATGCTTCAATAACAGACAGATAAATATATATCAAATAAATAAAATATTTTAAAACGTTCTTTCTGAAAATAGTGTTTCCAATAATGGAGGACGGTTTTAAAAATTCAAGATTTTCAAAACCTGAATTAAAGATGGATAACGTATTTATAAACATATTCAAAAAATGTAGTTACCATAAACGGAGTATAGGAGGGGATTTAGTATTAGATTTGGGAATAAATTGTAATCAAAGTATGACCCCTTTCCCTCCCAACTCCCTTCATCAACTTTTGGCTGAGCACCGAGTCATTGAAAATAGTAGCCAATATTGTAAATGAGTGTTTCTGATCCACATTCTGGAAAGAGTGATTTTGCTCACATCTGTTTTTTTGGAGGATATATTCAGAATCAACTAATTTACAAAATTGATTAGAGATATCTATGATTATTAAAAAATAATTTTAAAACATTCAATAAAAATTACAGGATTGTAAGCCTATGCTTACACTAAAATGTTACTCAACCATTTTTACTTTACCAAAAACAAGACTGAAATAAATTAATACAGAGAGTAAGAAACACAAACATTCTATAAATGGTAGAGAGTTCAAATAACCTTTACACTTATACATTTTTTTATTTTGGCTTGAGGCTGTTTGGATGACTTTAATGATTTTCACAATCTGTAAACATGCAAATGCAAAGAAATCCACCAGGTGATCTCTCTAGTTGTAGTTAATATTATTTTGAGAATTATTCCAAAAAGAAAATAAATAAATCAAATGCATCATAAGAGAATCAAATAAAATAAGTAGAAAAAATATGACTTTGCAGTATACGCATGCTTCTGATAAAACTGACCAGGTGTTGGCTCATTTTCCATACAGACTGGAAGCTGAGGTTCCCGAACAGACATATAAGTCGATAAAAAGTTAATAGTACTGACTTTGTAATTAATCATTTTCCTGAAATACCAATTAATAACGATAAAATAATTCTATAATAAAGTTCTTTGTCAAATTATATTAAATAGGAAAAGGAAAAACTAATGAAAAAAAAATGTACATAGTAATAAAATAAATATAATTAATAATGACTGAAATAATCATCGCAGAATAGTTAAACTAAACATTCATATAAATAACAATAAATACATACGGAATAAAATAAAAATGTAAGTTGGGAGCTCTACATACCAGAATAGAGAGGATTTCAAACAAATAATTCGTACAAATAAACTGATAATTATTAATGATTAACTATAATGGATAATAGACACAAACAACTGTGTATAATTGACTTTGCTGTGATTTGTACCACCATCTTAAGCAGTAGTAAATGGGGAGAAATTCGTAAATAATCAGATTTATTGCAGAATAATTTTAAAAATCACTTAACTAAAATAGATGGCTAAAAAAATTTAAAATTCAAATAAGTACGAATTTAAGGCAAACATTTATTTTTAGATAATCTTTATTGAGAAATATTACAATCTGTCACATTTAAGGACCATAGTAATAGTAAGGCAAAAAATTAAAAAAGGACAACCATTTAGCAAACACACAAGACTAAATAAATACATATTAATACAGATAAGCTTTAAAAACAAGACGAGAAACCAAACCTGAAATCTGGATTATCAAAGAAAAGTTTGAAAACTGGTAAAAATGAAGAAACAATGATATACAGCAAATAAAAGAGAGTAAAACTGAAATAAAACAGGGCCTGCAGTGGTAAATAACTTGATAAAAGACCAATGAGTTTCTAACTAATAATAAAATTATAGAAAGAGAAAGATATTCCTGAAATAGATGAACGATATTGTAAGAAACATTAACTAAAAAGAACATAATGAAATAGAAAAGTTGTTATCCAGTAAATCAGCCAAAATATGTTTTTAGAATTCTTCTTTTCTTCTTTTTTGTTGGGAAGCTGTTTTTTGAAATTTACAAATTATAGATATAATCTTAAGGTTTAATGAAGATAAATCATTCAGAATAAACAAAACCATATTTGACAATTGAAGATACTTCTTAAAGTGTCCAGACATACACCATCATATTATAAAGTGACACTGTTCTGTTATATTCTGAAACCTATATCGAAGAACATCCTGATGATAGAGCATATCAGGACTTCAGTATGACATCAAAGAAATGTTGTGCGGTCACATTGCATATCCTACTGGCATTTCTGGATGGAACTGGGTAACAGTCCATCAGTTTTAAAATTTAGGTTATATAAATAACTTCTAATAATTAAAACAAAATAAGCAAATAAATAATTAGTAAATTGAGAATATTTTGTACATTTAATTAAATAAACATATAATAATTATGAAGAGAAGAATAGTTGGGATGATCAGTCAAATAAGAAGGCAAAAATAAATGATAATATTTATTTTGACGTTTACCGACGTTTCAACCTGAATTTCAGGCCATCATCAGGGCTAAGAAAAAAACCAGATAACAAGGTATGAGAAACATAAGCAGTGTAGGTAGCAAAAAATTAAAGTAAAATACAGTTGTTAGAATAATGACAATAGTAAGAACTAAGAGATAAAAGATAATAACCGGTACAAAGTGTGGAATGATGAAGTGAATATAATCAAAAAAGGTGACATAAGTATTAAAATGGGAATCTTAGAATAAAATGTAAAACAAAAAAATATGAAGTTATATAAGAAATGGAAATAAATAGTAATTCCATTCCATGGAAATTAATTAACAAGTAATTCCACGGAAATAAACAATAATTTCCATTTCTTATATAATTTCATATTTTTCTGTTTTACATTTTATTCTAAGATTCCCATTTTAATACTTATGTCACCTTTTTTGATTATATTTACTTCATCATTCCACACTTTGTACCGGTTATTATCATTTATCTCTTAGTTCTTACTATTGTCATTATTCTAACAACTGCATTTTACTTTAATTTTTTTCTACCTACACTACTTACGTTTCTCATACCTTGTTATCTGGTTCTTTTCTTAGCCCAGATGATGGCCTGAACTTCAGGTCGAAACGTCGGCAAATGTCAAAATAAATATTATCATTTATTTTTGTCTTCTTATTTGACTGATCACCCCAACTATTCTTCTCTTCATTATTCAGGACAGTCAACCATTTACCCACTATTATATAATAATTATATTATAACTACAAATATTAATATTTTTTCATGATTGAAACGTAAAAATACAAATAGTTTATGTGCCTTCAGAAAAATCTTTCATAAATTAAATTTCAAAACTTCGATTAGAAGTATGATTTAATTAAAAGAAACTGCAACCCATCAAAATGTACGTACAAGAACCTAGTCCAGTGACTGGGATACATACTGTATTAATGTAATGTTACAATACAATGTTGCATGTAGATGGATTCATAAAGAAACCTTGTTATATTAAGGAACAACTCAAAAGAAGTGTTCAAAATAAAAATTTCTGTAAAAAATGGAAAAAAAACATACTCGGCCCTTAATAATGGCAATGGAAAATAGAAAGAAAAAAAAAGATGTTCACATAATAAAATAGATATGCTTTATCTAACACCTGAAGTAATTTAATAGATAATAGAAAAGAAAAAACAAATTAGTTAGTTAAAATTTGGACAATTAATATCAAAAGGGATTTAATTAACAAAGTAATGTCTCTAGCACAGAAAAGCAAAATAAATCAAATTCTGATCATAATATAGAAAAAAACTCATTTTTTTAAATAATCAGGAAAATAAAAATTAAATATTAATAAAATCCATAAATAAAGCAAATATTAAATCTAGTAATAAACTATCAAAACATTAGTTAATAACTGATGAATTAATGTACTGTTTTATTCATCATGAAATAAAATCACTAAAACAAAAACTACAGCCAAAAGAAGCGATTATATATGAGCTAAAGCATTGGATATCCGGAAAGATAATTATTTTTCCTATATCATGCAGCTTACCTACTCACTCAGAACCGGCAGGAGCGACCCATAATAAAAAAAAATTGTTTTGTTAATTGCTAGACATGATAAAACATACAAATCATATAATATACAACTGAGTCCCAATAAGCAGCGCTACTAGAAAATTGATGGCCAGTGATGATGGTTTGTGTTGATTGGCAATCAAAATAAAATACTTTTTAGCTTACTATTAATTTATGTAAATAATAAGTGAATGTATAAATAATATTTATCATGTAAGCCAAATGCCTGATAGAAAAGTATGTATGAGTAAGGTGCTTTTGAAAACATTGATTGGGACTCATTGAAAACCATCAGTAATTAGGATTCCACTATCTAGAGAAATGCTCTACTATTGATTGAAAAAAAGACTAATATAGACACGTAAAGAAATTTGTTGAATAATAATAATAAATATTTTCAAAGAAAAAAAATTTAAAATTTAAAGTTTAGTTAAAAAAATATATTGAAAGAAATATAATGTGGTGTAGAAGAAATTTATGAAAAAATAAAAAAATAATTCTGTTTTAGATGTTAGATTTGCTAAATTTTTGATAATCTTTCCATTTTGATAAAGAAAAACACAAATAATATAAATTAAAATATTAAAAAAATGATAAAATTAACAATTATTTCAAACTTTTCAATACTTACAGCTCTATGTTATGAATGTTTGAGGTTGGACATGTCGTTTCTGCCTTAACGTGGCAGTGTTTATGGCACTTGAGTTGGCAATCCCTACATTCATATCCTTGCTTTCCTAATCTCCTTGGCAGTGCCTTCTTACAGACTTGGCACAATGTTCCACTACGGAAAAAGGTAATGATCAATAATGAAAGGTGCTAGGGGAACAGAAAAAAAGATCATTGTTTAAATAAAAAAAAACCTCACCCTTGGAGATGTTTAGCGATGAAGGTATGATCATTAAATATATGTAATTTAGTGCCCTTTTTCTTCCACTTGCTCTTCTGTGCCATCGACAGGGGCACCAAGTAGTATCTGAAAAAAGATGAAAAAATAATTATATAAATTAAAATTAATAAAAAACAAATCATTTGAACACCAATTAATACAATCTTTGTAAGTAATATAATATAAAATAATAATCAAACACAATGGATACTTTTATACATTATTATTATTATTATTTGATGTCCAGTAATTTACTTAAGGAAGAGTTTGACAAGAGAATTGACCAAGTGATGTATAACATTGTCAAATGGAATATAGAAAGAAAGACAAATGTTTGTAACATTAAGAACAATATGAGATAAAGGAAAAACATTAAGAAGTTAAAATAAAAAATGAATTATAAATAAATGTTAATAATATTTTAACAGTGAAGAAAAATGTCTCTGAAGATGGGCAAAGAGTCCGAAATGTTGGACAGATGAATAAATTAAAACACACGGAAGAAAAATATTTTCATTATTATTTTTTAAATTTTTATTACAAAAATAAATCATGGTAAAGGAAACCTCAAATAGAAACCTACTGTCCTCCAGGCTGGGAGTGAGTTGGAAGCATATGGGTTCGCCATTTTTCAAACTAATACTATTGGATAGCAATCAGTTTCCAAAAATCTAATAATACTTCCGTAGAGGCCCAATCAGTCCGAGGGTGGACTGGAAATCTTCAAAAGGACAAAATATAATGGAGAAAAGACAGAACACTATATATATCAAAACTACTACTAATGTCATCGCCAGTTTGGAACTTGATTCATAGTTTCAAAAAGGTTTCATGAATCCATAATTGATTTTAAGATTGTATCACCAAGAATAATATACCCAAAAGACATATTAAGAATTTCTCAATCCTTGTTGTACATGCACCAACTGAAACATTTTCAGATGCAGATAAGGAAAGATTCTATGAGATTCTTGACAGAAGTATTGAACAATACCCTAGGTATGGTGTGAAAGTTATTGCTAGAGATCTCAATGCTAAAGAAGGAAAAGAAGCTGTGTACACCTTAGTTATCGGTCAGCATAGTACTAATTAAATTTAAAAAATATCAGACATTAAATCACCTATAAAACATGATACATACTTTTTGATACCATTTTCTACTGTTTCAAGAACAAGTGTAGATGCTTCATTGACATAAGTTCGGCTCGAAGCACCACTGATCCCTGAAGCTTCACTTAGGCTTGACCTAGCCGAACCTTCCCTAAGACCAGGAACTGAGAGGTAGGAACCTAAATTCATCAGAAAATTAGAAATGGTTTCGTTAGAAAATTTAACAAGTCAGCATCATAAAAAGTAAACAAGTAAATGATATGATGGCAATTGAAAAAGTCAAAATGTTCAATGTAATAATAAAGTAACATTAGGCAAAAATAAAGTTCTATTATTTCTGAAAATTAGCTGAAATAATTTAAATTAAGCAAGAGTTAATTTGTCAATAACACAAGTTCTGAATTTGAAATAACCAACTCATTATTAAAACAATATCCAATAAGAGTTATTTTACTACCACTAGTTGCATAAGGATCAATAATTAAAAATGAATAAAAATTTAGTTTATGCACAACAATGTTAAATGTCAACATTGATGATATAAAGCAGGGGTTCTCAAACTATAATACATAAACAACCAATAGTATGAAAAGGTGAAAAAATAAAACAAAAAGTAGGAATATGAAAAAAAAAAAAAAGCATTGATCAAAGTTTCTTTTTTAATGTGTTCAGTTACAGATAATTTTTTTCTCAAAAATTATTATTAAATAAATCATCTATAAGATGAATAAACACGATCTTTAATTAATAATAATAATCTATCATAGTTCAGTAATAAACACAAAAACACTTAAAGGATGGAGATGGTCCGGGGTTGCGGTCATAAATAGGCTAAATAGTGGTAAAACTATTTTATTGAAAGCCCTGAAAAAACAAAAAAACACTTAAATATTGAAGAGGACTTAGAAATCAATTTGAGCTTTCATCAGGCCTAACATTGCAAATAATTCTTCCATAGTTAAAAAGTACAAAATACTGATGCCTTCTTCCGCAAAATCAACATTTTTTACTTTTGTTAGATGCACTTTTATTTGCAGAATTTTGGGTTTATTTTCAGTTGTCTTACTGTGGCTGTTGTAATGAGGAATTGATAACTTACAGATTTTTAAATATATTTCCTTAAGAAAATTCACTATAATATTAATTCTTTTGTTGGCTATATGAACTTTCACATTTTTTTTTTTTTTTTATAAAAACGGACATATTATATAATTCATAAGATCTGAAATGGTATGCACAGTTATTTGAATAGTGAAAGTAGTACGCAGTCAAATAAAGTTTGAGAACCCTTGATGTATTAGGAATTGATTAAATCTTAACAAAAAATAAAGAAAGAGTAACATACATACATTAAACTAAAATATAACCAATAATTGACAAAAATTTACTTACCAAAATTGTTTCCCAATGAAGAAAGTTAGTAGTGCACAGAAAAAGAAAAGAAAAAAAAAAAAGCAAATTAGTAAAATTTAACAATTTGATTGTGAATGAAATTTAAGTCACAAATTACAAATAATTAAATAAAACCTCTGCAGTGAACCCAATATTTGCAAACTGGCAGTTGATATTGTAATTAAAAAATTTAACATAACTCAGAAAAATGAGTTTTAAAATGGGTTTGCTAATCAACTGAAATCTGTTTAATGTTAAACATTATAAAAGTAATATAATCTTAATATGTTATATGTAATTTCAGTAGTTATATACATATACATAAATTAGGTAAGTATCAGCCATAAAACATTAGTACTAAAATAAAACAATAACAAATAACTTGCCACTTTTTGTTACAAATGCGATATTTTAAATCATGGACTCAATTGAAGTTGTGAGAATTCAGTTTAGAAATCCATTATCTATTTATTTAAAAAATTATTTTTAGATTGACAAACTTGTTTGACATAAGAGCAAGAGATATTTTTATCCAAATTTATGAATTATTCCAGAAAATTTAATTATTATAAATTTAAATATGCTGAGGCTGGAATGGCTGAAAGAGATTCCTAAGTGAATTTGATTTGATCCTAATTTATCTAAGACACATCACAACTTACATTTTCAATAAAAAAAGGATGAAAACTCTAGATGTAGTTCTAGAAAAGCCTATAAGCTGTCATGTGTTAATTGATTCCTAATTTTAAATTCTCACACTTCTATTAAGATTAATTTTTCAATCAAATTCTCAATTATATTGTGAATTAAATTCATACACCAAAAATGTAACTTAAAACTATTCTTGTTAAAGATAATTTATCTTAAACTAAACGTTTCAATTTATTCCTCAATGAGATGGATTTCAGTACAAAAAGTAACAGATTTTTTTCTATAAACATTAAGTATAGTAAAGGACTGAAGGCATTTAAACTGGCTGTGAAAATAATCAGCAAAAGATTTTGAAGAACATCTTGAATCTTATAAAATCAAAGAATGAAAAATCAAGTAAGAACAGGAAAGCATTAGAGTATAAATGCCAATTAAATTAGGTATCACTTTGTTAAGTCATGATAACAAAAGAAAATATAAAAACAAAAATTCGTTACAACGTTCAAAAATGAATAAGAACAACTAGACTTGGAATTGTAGGTAAAAATATTAATATAATCAAGGAATAAAAATTATTAAAAGCTATTGATTTCACAAGAACAATATACCTATTTTAAGGATTACAATAAAGTCCATGTGAAATAAAAAAAGAAAATGAATTACAGAGAAAGAAAAACAAGAGACATGTTACAAAAATTGTATCAATGAACTCAAATAAAAAAAAATGGAATCCTTGAAAAAATATATAATCAATTTTAAGTGGTAAATAATATACAATCATGTTATATACAATTATAAAAATAACCAAGTGAGGTAAATGATTAATACTTTAAAGGTTTCTCTTGACAAATATTAAGTAGCACAAAATAAAAAACATTATGTTTTAAATATAGATTGGTTTGATAATCTTTTGCAAATAAGTTTAAACTCAATCAAGAATCATTAAATCAAATTCCACAACATTATTTTTAACAAAATAGAAGAGATATTTAAACAAATTTCAGAATCTTAAATATGTATACATTAAATTCCCTGTTATGCTTTATTCTGTTAAAAGGCCCATAATATGCGACAATTTACATACTATTTTTAAATTTAAAAAAAAAAATACAAAATGTTCATTTATTAAGAAAGTCAAAATAATAAAAAAATAATGTCTGGAGTAGTGGCATATGTACAATTTCGGAGGCATGTGGAAGCCAAGTTTTAAGATCCATAAGCTAGGGTGGACACATAGTGAATTGAAATAGAATAATAAAAAAAATCTAAAAATTAACAAACTAAACTGAACCATATTATATTAAAATTATTGATATAATGCAGCATATTTAATGACTATCATCATATAGGAAGTTAAGACTAAGATATTTACAGCAGGGGAAAATATTTTTAACATACTTAGGTATTATAATATTGTAGGAAATATTCAACATTATGCTGCAATAATTTATTTATCAATACTAATCGATTGGTTAATAGTGGTGCAGAAAATTCTTTTAGTTTTATTTAGAATGCCAATAATAATTATTATACACAACTGCCCATGATAACTAAATGTCATAATAAAGAATAAAAAATCTATAACCTCTTTACTTGTTATAATCTAAATCTGGATTTCAATAAAAAACTGTCATTAATTAAAAATTATAACTGAAAAATATTGAATACTTAATAGTTGACCGTTGTATTATTAAGGAAGGAGATGGTCCAGTATGGCAGTCATAAATAGAGTAAATAGTGGCAAAACTATTTTATTAAAAGTTTAGAAGACCCAACTTTGCAGGTCTTCTTCAGCAAGGATTTTAGCTTAGAACTGAGTTCTATGTGAAACTCCTTGCTGAACACATCTCCCTGAAAAGACCTGCAAAATCGGGTCGAAACGTTGGCTTTTAATAAAATAGTTTTGCCACTATTTAGTCTATTTATCACCACCACCCCAGACCATCTCCTTCCTTAATAACTGAAAAAGCTATAAACAAAGTAAAAACATACAATCACTTAAAAGCCGTATTCAAATGTGAACAAATTTTAAACTAGCAAGACCTAGTGGACACATGATTAATTTGAAAACAGCAGCAAAAGCAACTAACAAACAAAATCAACAAAAAAAATCTTGCGATTACCTCTAACAGCTTAATGCAGCAGACAGGGAATATTGTTGTATTATATACATGGGATAGACGCATAAATTTTAAATCTCTAACAAGCAGTTAGTAAAAATGCACTCAAATAAAATATTCCAACATAGCAGACATTATTTTACCTGATGAAATCAAATCACACTTAATCCGATGACTTCAACTTACAACATAAATACAAAAATTAAAACAAAAATATAATAATTTTAACACCTTCATTATTTTATTTTCATAGATAAGAAATCCTTCTTACCCATTTAATTTACATGATTGTATCAGTAAAGTAAATATATATATATATATAAAAGTCTTTAATTAAACCAATTAACAAAAATGAATTTAAATATAAAAGCAAAAAAAAATTAGCATAATTCATAAAAATTAATTATAAATCATTAAAATTCGTTGACATTTTCCTTTTCGATCAAGCACTTTATATCCCAAAGTATTAAATTTAAGTAGGTGCTTAAAATAAGACATAAATATGAAGTATAGTACTTTATTTTCTTTTTACATTTTCGCCATGCCATGGTATACTCATTAATTTCAGAATAGTCTTAACATTTTCAAGACACTATCCAATACAACAAATACAAGATTTTATCAAGATTGCATCAACTAATTTTTTCTTATTTAAATCTATAAAAATCTTTTTCATATTTAAAAAAGATGATTCAGAAATTTCTGTGTGGTATAATTACTTGTTCTGTTTTTTTTTTTTAAGAAGTCTTTAATTTGCATTAGTACATTTAAACAAAACTAAACCCAATCCGTTTTTATCAAAAATACTCGAGGATGAAAACGTGTATTTGAATAATCTATAATTTATAATTTCATTTAAGAATAAATGGCCGATAGATAAAAACAAAGTTATTTTTCAAATTTAATTAATTGTGATTTGTCTAAACCGTACAAAACCCACCTTTCATTTGATGTCTCTCTTCTCCCACTGAATAGCAAAATAAATTGACGCCAGAATGTAATTTGAATAACTTGCATCAGTCAAAAAAAATTATTTTCTTATTTTTGTTAATGTTATAATTCATATTAGTTTAAATAGTTTCTGATAATAGTTTCTTCTTGACTATTTAAAAATACAACAGAAATTATAGGTTTTCAAAGCGAATAAATAAACCTAACTAAAAAAATTGACATAATAATACAAGAATTTTAAGGAATTTAATAAAATTATTTTTCATTTCAAAAAATATCATTGTAAGAGATTAGGTCTAAAATTACTGCTCAAGGATGATTCAATGATTGTTAAATGGTATATTTCCACTTTAACATATGAGATGATTATAAGGTAAATAATGGTTAAAAAAAAATATGGTTTAATAATTGTTAAAACTATAAAAAGCAAGAACAAGCACATACTAACCATGCTGATTAGTGGAATTTTCAGCAGTGTTGTTTTGAGGGCTACCTGTTGAGAGAAGAGAAGGATCTCTAGCTCGATCAGCTGAGACCGACCGTGCCAACGGATCCACCAACTCATTTCCCTCTGTACCGGGTCCAACGGATCTGGACCTTGTTTTAGAACGATTCAGTCTTCTCCTCAAAGTGCCAAAGAAATCTCGTTTCTTTTTTCTACTTCTTCCTCTTTCTATGGGATTTAAAATAAGATTATTTTTTATTTAATAAAAATAATAGCCCAAACTATTATAATACCTAAATAAAAATTTTCGTCTTGAAACTTATAATAAAATTATAAAAATAATAAACATATAATATAAAGCACTCAATAGTTTCTCTAAAAAGACCTACTGAATTTTAGAAAACAAATTTTATTACTTATTTCGGTGATTATACTCAAGTGACATACATTCATTGATTTTTTACAAAATTTTTGTCAATTTATTTTTTATATAACTAGAACAGTCCTAAAAAAAAAAAAGATGCAATTAAATTTTATTTTGTATATTTGATGATAAATTCATACTTTCATGATTTGAATTAAGTAAAAGAACAAAACAAATAGAAATAAAAAATTAAAATGCAACATTGAAGATGAAATTATAGATTAAAATCGTAGATGGGAATGGGAAATTTTGACCTACAGTCACAACGGAACAGCAAATAAGAGCTGACAGGCACTAGAATGAAACATCACACTGGAATATAAAACAAATGTCACGAAACTGGAAACTATTCATGTTCCAATCTTAGATTTCATTTCATCAGAACAAAAAAATTTGAGATCGACCGATACCAATATTAATATTGGCCAATATCAAACACAGATATGCCGGTATATCAGCATTTTTATTTATTTTTTACTAGATAAGTAGAGTTTGAATATATATATATATATATATTTTTTTTATGAATATCTTCCAAATTTTCTGGTTATCCCCTTGAACGATATATTGGCATCTTTCACTTTGAATATTATTTTTATTGCTAATAAATGTGTCAATTATTCGTCAAGGAATCAATATAAACATAAATTTGAGCAAAGACTGATATATCAGCCTTACGACCTTACTTTATTAAGATAGTACAGTTTGATTTCTTCTTTTTTATTTATTTCTTGTGCACCACTACCAAATTTTTCTGTCATCCTCTTGAACCGAAATATCTGCCGTACGATCTTATTTTATTGAGATTCTAAGAATTTCACTTAGAATATTATTATTTTTTTCTAATAAATGCGTCAATGAATCCGTAATGGGTCTACATGAAAATACATTTGAGCAAAGACCACTATATCATCCTAAATTACTATGAATATTATTTTTATTGCTAATAAATGTGTCAATCATTCATCAAAGGATCAACAAAACATAAATTTGAGCAAAGACCGATATATCTGCCATATGACCTTATTTTATTGAGATAAGTAGTTTGACAATTTTTTTTTCAACTTTTTTTTCTGGTCTCCCTCCCCCTTATGCTAATTTGGGCAGATACTGACATTCCAAAGACCAATATATTGGTTTTATGACCTTATTTTATTGAGATTCTATGAATTTCATATTGAATATTATTTTTATTGCTTATAAATGCGTCAATCAATCATCAACGGATCTACATAAACATAAATTTGAGCAAAGACCGATGCCTTATGACCTTATTTTATTGAGATTGGTAGAGTTAGAGAGGAGAATAAAAAAAATATAATCATATATAAAAAAAATAAGTCATCAGGCCGATATATCTTGACGATTGACACTTTCATTCATCAATTACAAGAATTTTCGGTACTACTTCACTAGCAGGCTGGGTCGAAACCTCACTTCTTATCTATGTTATCTAACGCATGTCACATAACCTTCCTCTTCTTATCCCGCCAAACCTTTCAATTATTACATTGTTTATTTTTCAATTATTCCCTTATTACGTTCACTTATTATATTCTTTATTTTTGGTCCGTTTGTGTTTATTTATTTTATTTTTATTTTTTTGTTTATTTTCGTCAAATTATGAATCTTGTTACATTCTGGGATTTACCGTCTTCAGAAGAACAGGCTATTGAATATTTTCAAAACATTGGGATACTTGCAGATGTGAAATTGTGTGAAAAGTGGCGGGTTCGTAAAGTAGAGGACCCTTTCCTCGCTGTTTTAAATAGCATAAAATTATTTTGCCTCCCAAAATAAATATGACAAAGTGAAAATAAATTGTACATATGTCGTTTATAGTGTTGATATTTTTTCTTTTATATGTACATATCTTCTTTAAGTGTTTTTTATTATTTCATTTTCATCTTTTATATGTACATATGTTCTTTAAGTGTTTTTTTATGACTTCATTTTGATCTTTTATAAGTACAAATCTTCTTTAAGTGTTTTTTTATTAATTCATTAATATATGTGTAGTGGAATAAAAGTATTTTCTTTTGTTATTACATTTGTTTTTGTTTCTGTTTACACTTTTAATAATACGAATATAATACAATAATACGAAGATAGGAATTACGAGAAGGCTTATCACTGCCTTGTCGGAATTATCAGTGTTCAGGTAATAAACATTGGCAGATAGCAGTAGGTCCCGGCCTGCTAATGAAGAAGTACCGAACTTTCTATGTCATGTTGTACTGATACATGATGCAGGTGTGACTTATAGAAACAAATGGCCAATATGCTGAAATAGAGGTTTATTGATCTTTTATCTGTTGAAATTTCTGTATATGCCAATGCGTAGATGGTCTATTTATTCATTTATTTAGCAATAAGTAGAATATTCTATGTGAAGCTACAGAAACTTTGACGTAAAGGGGTAAAAAAGGCCGATATATAGACATATTGGCCTTTGAAATATCATATATATATATATATATATATAAATATAAATATTCGCTTCTTGAACGAGCCATCTCTAATTATAGGTTCATTTTTATTGAATAAAACTACAACAAAATAACACTATATTTGGAATCTCCCTCACTCCTCAAATCCTCCCCGGTATCTCCCAATCTCCTCCTGAACAACTCACCTATCTTATTCCACACCACTGTTAAAAACCTAGGTGTTACTTTTGATCAAACTCTATCCTGGAAACCACACATCTCCCAAATTTCCCGTCTCACTATCTCCACCCTAAAACAGTTCAATCGTCTATGATATCTCCTTCCATATAAGTCCCGTCAACTCCTAGTTTCCTCCCTTCTTTTCCCCCACTTCGACTATGGCTGTATGGTGTACGGTGGACTCTCGGGAGATTCCGAGGGCAAACTTAAACGCCTAATTAATTGTGCACTATGATTTGTTTTCAGAATCTCAAGGGATATGCATATTACCCAGTATTACACTGAGTTGAGGTGGCTCTACCCATCCTATCGCCATCAGTACTTCCTAGCCACCTTTCTGTACCAAATCATTAGAACTCATCGACCCTCCTTTCACAGCTTACAATTCAAATACTCCATCCAATCCCGTCCCACTAGATCTCGTATTTTCGACTTCTATCCTTCTCCTCACCGAACTGCTGCATTTGACAAATTCTTTTCAATACAAGCTGCCTCCCTCTGGAATTCCATCCCTACTGATATTCGACACGCTCAATCAGTTTCCTCTTTCAAACCTCTCCTCTTTAAGCACCTACTCCTTTCTCAATCCGACTGATTGTAAAATATACTTGAGAGAACTATCTAAGAACCACCAGAGACTACCTCAATTTATTGAGGTTATTTTAGTTTCTCATATATATATGAACAATTTTCTTGTTCTTTTCAGTATTTTTATTTTTACTCAACTCTTATTGTAAATATACAATCTAATTGTAACCACACAGACATACAATCTGTATTTATATTTTGTTCTAAAGGGACAACAGTCCCAGAATAATAAAATATTTTTTCATTTCATTATATCTTTAATAATTTACTTATAATAAGGATTTTTTATCTAAGGGAATTTTATTTCCTCTCCTTGTGCCTTTCAAATGTCTCACTTAATTTCAATTTTAGATTATTATTTACTTTTTTTATATGAGATAATATTTATAATATCAAAGAAAGTGCGTTGTTTTCTTAAAAATTCTTTTATTGCATTTTTTTTTTTTTTTTTTTATACATGTAATAGTATCTTATACTTCATCATTGGTTATTATTCCATTTTAGTAATTAGCAAAATGAATAAAAACATTAAGAAATAAAAACACTGTTAAAAGGATAATATCACTAAAGCTTCAGCAGATAGGCACTGCTCCTAAATAGAAATATCCTCAAAACTTGGCAAAGGCTAAAAGAATTTTTTGATCCCTTGCAATTTAGATGAGTGGAGATAAAGGAAGTATGAGATACTACTTTTGGAACTAGTTGGATGCGAGACATACTAACACTGATCCCTTCCATGAGATATTTTGATGGGGATAGTAAAAAATATGTAGTTACTTACCATTCTCTTCTAGAGCTGTAGTGTTTTCTACAGGGGCTGGAGCATTTGAGCCAGGCTAAAAAAATAAAAGAAAATGTATCTAGCAGATTTTAGCGTAGTATTGACACACCTCAATCAATAATAATAACATGTATAATGACAGTTAATCTGAATTTAGATCAAATTAAAAAGCAAGATATACATTTTGAAAAATACACAAATTGAGCAAAAAGGTAACCAATCTCTAATAAATATAGAAATCCCAGTAAGTGTTCACCAACAAAATACACATATTTTGATATAGACCACAGGATTTATTTATGAATGTAAGAACATGTACAAATTATAAAATTTGCTGTAAAGTTTTTTAAAACTGGTACCCATTCCCCAAAAAAGCATTATTAAAATGAACACCAAACACGGTGCACTTACCACCAAAAAGACTCCATTAAAATTTAAAGAAAAGGCCTAACTAGGAACACAGAATAAGAGTACTTGCCTGAGTCTGAAATATTTTTTGAGATTTCTTCAAGTTTATAATTATTCTCCTCAGTCAAGACTATACTACTTAATTGATATTTTTCTAATTGACAGTAAAGATTTAGATTAAGGTAGCTTTAAGTAAAAAGACTAAGATTTACTAAGAAGGAATTACACAAGGAAACTGATACATTGCAAACTGTTCCTAAAGGACCCTCTCTAAGAAAAAGTGGAATACTCCTAATGGAGTACTCTCAAGAGCATAAGAGGAATGTATAACAAGTGTACCAAGAAACAGCAGAATACTCCTAAAGAAGTACTCTCAAGAGCATAAGAGGAATGTATAACAAGTGTACCAAGAAACAGTGGAATACTCCTAATGGAGTACTCTCAAGAGCATAAGAGGAAAGTATACGTACGACTGAGCCTCTCAATTGACCTTATCTTTTCATTGAGTCACCAATCTCTACATTTGCAATATAGAGAATGGATCTGCCTATCCTACGATTTATAGATGTGATGTTTTAGTTAGAATGTGGTACTTTCACTTTGGTTATGACAGCTTTATCGTTCCTAACCTATACGAATCAATTGATTCGAACTAATAGTACACATAGATTCGCAAAGACTACTAGCCTGGATAGTGGCCACAATATATAATGTATACAATAAATATTGTAGACAGTATCCTTCAATGAAACCTCGTGTGTGCATTTATGCTAGAACTAAAAAAACGACAAAAAACCGGGAAGATTGAAAACTGTTAATTACAACTTAACTTAATTCCTCAACGACATGCACCACATTCTGCGTACCAGGTCCTTAAATAAGAGATTTTATTTATCTTGGTGAGTTTTAAGTTTAATTAAACCCAACTTACATACATCCAAGATGTAAATCGGAACAGAGTAATACCAAACCAAGTATCATTACCAGTTAAATTGTATGACCTTTAACAAATAACTGATACTCATTTAAAATTAGATTTGAATCAAACTAATGACCACTAATCCCTTTACACCATCTTTACAAACATAAACATAAGAATATACAGGATAAACAAGACAGTAAAAATAAACCACCATAACATATGTTAAATATTTACATAAGTGAAGAATATACACATATATAAAGTCACATATCTATATACAAAACTTGTGGATCCAGGAATACATATGAAAAACTGAGTTGCAGTTTTATAACATGTTTAAAATAAAAGAATATTTTGTTCAATTTGGTTACTAATTGAGGACCAGTAATGGATTCGTTAAACATTAAAATTAAATCACAAAATTGAAGTAAACAAATATTTCAATATATATTACTCCATTCGTATGATATTAGACCTAATAAGCAAAATTAAATAAATAAAATACTGCACTAAATGTTGCTAATCAACAATATATCTCATAATTCTAAACCAGATTAAGGCTGATAAATTCATGATGTATTCACTGGATACACAGTCAGAACCTTAAATTAATTATGTACAGAAATAGTTACTTAATTGAAACTTTCATGAAAAAATTCACAAAGAATAAACAAAAAGTGTACAATTACAATACAAAGCAACAACATGCATCAGTGACGGAGCTACTCACCTACAAATTACCCCAGATCACCATCTTTACCATAAATGTTAGGATATTAGATTATTCTTTATATTATTTAGTTAAATGCTAAAGAAAATTTAACTGCACCACAACTATAGCGCAAAGGGTAAAAGGGAGATATTGTAGCCATTAACTAATAACTTAAAAGAAAATAAATTAAAATTAATGAAGTGCATACATTTAAATAAAAGATATGAAGTATCCACATGCTCCCAGTGCCCATAAGCCATGACGAAACTATAAAATGAAAAATTAAAAGTGTTATAAAATAAGAAGTGCTAAGAAATCAGCTGGGACTGATGGAAGAATTAGTTGTTTCACCTTATCGTCACTTTTATCATCGGGCACTTCATTAAATGTTCCCGTTTCTGTCATCTCCACCTGATAACACAATAGTATCAATGGAAAATTTCTCACTTTCGTTTATTATTTATTTAGCTCACTATTTGCCTTTATTATTATTTTTTTTTTAAATAACTAATTAAACTGTTAATAAATAAAAAATAACAAAACAAAAACCAAATTTAGCATACTAATTATGATATTAGAAACTAGTCAGAAAAATGAAATTTAAAGTATTACATCACAATAAAACACAAACAAACAATAATTACTTTGGGACCATTAACGACACCGATAAGGTAATACATGAAGATAGACAAATAGTTTTTTTACCTTTAAGATTTGTTGCTGAGGTGATTGTGGAGTCTATCCAAGTAAAAGAAAAAAAAATCAATAAGTTATAATGAAAACATAATTCAAATATACTCAGCATATTAACATATCTCTATCCATGCTTAGAACTAATGACTATCAACTTTAAAACAGAAAAGAAGAAAAAAATGTTAGTATAAAATACTTACTACACACACATGTTAAAATCTACAAATAATAATCAAATAAGGTGAACCACACCACCACTGAAAAATTCATTGTTGAAGAAAAGATGTAAGATCAAGTAAATAAAATAATTTAAACAATGGAGTATATTAAAAATAAAATTTAATACAGGCTAGAACAATTTGTGTGAGGGTTAATAATTTTGAAATGTAGATAAAAACTCAAACAGTCAAAATTTTCAGTAAATATGTAGTGATATATATTATAATGTAGCCTGTTTACAACGGGTCAAGAAAATAAGCTAACATTACTACACACATAGGAACCTAGTTTTCAATAGGAGCTCTAAACCAAGTAGAGAAAAACAATGGTTTGTTGAAACCAGTTTCTCTCTGAGTGGTGTGACCAATATGAGTTGATAGAAACAGAGGAAGAGAATCGTTACATGACTTAGAAGATTAGTTCCACATGAATCTTTTAAATCATCTCAAAAGAAATGTGAAAGACAATCAAAGTTATATAAGAATAGCCGAGACTGAATTCAATTATTTATAGAAAATTGTGAAACCTCTTAAATATGTACTAAATTTAATAAAATCTTTCACCTTTCTCAGCTCACTTCGAAAACTTTAGTTCAGGGACTCAATTTTGTTTTTTGATAATTTTATGTCTGCATTATCTCACGAATTATGAGCAAAAGGTTATGAAGATCTTAATCATACTTGTATTAGTCCGTATATATTTTCTTCCCCACATCTTCCCATTCCTTCCCTTTTAGGCTATACAGGGTTTTCCCAAGCGGGGGATTAATGCCAGAGTTAAAAGTTGGCATAAACCGGGACGTGAACTCATAATTTTTTTTCAATACAATTATCTTATATCAGGTTGCCATGCAACGCGGAGCTGTTCATACGCTAACTCCATATATTCACCATTATTTATCTAATTAAAAATGGGCATTGCTGATAGGCTTCAAATGCCCATCCAATCCCCCCACTCCTTCACTGAGATTCCTACCCATGCCACTAAAAAGCAAAATGTGCACAGCTTCACTGGTGAAACAGCCAACAATAGCTCTTGTTCTCTGCACACAAACAAATTCCCTGAACTCTTTAAGGGAATAGAACAAATATTTCCAACTTGGAAGATCAAATTTGTTATGAACTTAAATTGAGAACTTCCACATATAGACTAAAAATGGTAAACTTGTGTTTCATGAGCCAAGTTTGATGAAACAGGTTCCAATGTATGTAGCAAGCTTCATGAACAAAATAACCATATTTTGTTAACACAATAAAAAGTGAACGAAGTATGGTTACCATTTTCTTTTTAGATACCAGGTGATCGACAATACTTGATAAAAAATAAAGATTACTGATCAATAATTTTTTTAGCACATAAAGTTTTAATTATAGTGAAAATGCTGTATTTAGAACCAAACAAAAGGAATAAATTTTAAAATACCTACTAAAATAAAGTTCAGAATAATTAATAAATTGAATGTAATGTTCTTAAATAGCACAAACAGATAAAATAAATGTTGGTATGAATCTTAAATTATTATGAATTTTGATACAGAAACAAAATAATTATATGCCTATGTCTTTGCATTTTTCTTATATATTTAATAAAACATTTTATGGATAATAAATTTTTCATTTAAAATGAAAAAAAAAAACTTGGTCAAGCAAATATCACATTTCATGATTAAAATTAACTTTAAAAGTTTGAAAAATCTAAATAAATATCCTGTCCATTCAAAATTAAAAAGATAGGAGTTGTTAATAATTAAGATTCTTTCAGGATCGTTTATAACAGTTGAAATGAAAGGACATAATAATGATTAATTTCATATAAATAATGAGCTATTGTATATATTGGAAGATTATAAGTCAAAATTACAATGATCATAAATAATTAAGTTTATTTCATTTTGAACCATGGTAAATGGTGAATAAAATACTTTAGAAATTATTTTTAGCTTAGATTTAATTACAGAAGTATAAAACTTATTGAAAATATTATTAGATAAATAATTAAAAGGAATTTCATAAATCTTCTGTACTAGAAAACAAATCACAATATGCACACCATAAACCACAACTGATTTTATTAAGACTAAAAGTAAAAATTAAATATAGATCAAACAATACTCAATCAATCTTTAAACATTTTTTTTTTTCAATCATACAAAGCAAGACAGATAAAAACATGCACTAATAAAACCTACCCTTTGCACACTATGAATGATCAAGGTACTTTTGTTTGGCTGTGATCCTCTAGTTCTTTCTATTTCCTTCAATGCAAGATCTGTAATTCCATCACCACCATTGGTTAACCTATCTTTAAAAAAAAAAGAAAATTTTTTTCTCCAAGATTTGTCAATTTTTAAAAAAATAATATGATTTTTTTTTAAATATGAAAATAAAGTGTAGATTCCTAATCATAGTCTTTAAAAATGTTTCAGTTTCTTTTCTTTAATTAAAAAAAAATTATAAAGTTAACTTATTGTCTCAAATAAAAAATATTAAAATATTGCACAAGAAATCATCAGGAAAAAACACACATATGCCATTCTACTCTACTATGCTTCAACAGTATACAGAAAATAACTATAATACATTATTATTTATAATTGCTTTAGATATTAACAGCTGATTTCCTAGAACAGGATACATATGTACCTAACTACTAGTAAAGAGTAAATACTCATCATTAATAAAATGAAACATAATATGATACACATGCTGAAAAACTAAATTTAGATACAAAATAAAATTGGGAGCAACTCTAAAAATCAATGAATAGACACTCTATCAAACAGAATCTTAACCATGAGTTATATCCTTAGAACATAGTATAGAATAGAAAGAGTAAACCGAAATAGAAGCTTAGGCCTAATGCCTACACCTATCATACCCTTACTGCATCAACATTTGGCAGCAAGCACCAAACATTAAAAACATAGTTTTCCTTCCTTCACACTTATCAATAAGTTATTATCATTAATATTATGGCAGAACAACCCAGTTATATGTTTTTGCTTCCTCTTAACATCTGTTTTGTCAGCAGTATTTTTGGCATTTCTCTATCAATCGTCCTGGTGACATGCCTTGCATATCAAAATCAGGAGGAAATTGAATTTAAGTTCTGAATCAAAACCTTCATCCTTTGTCTTTACGGCTGAAGTATCAATTGAAAAATAAATTTTAAAAAATTTAAATATTTTTGTCAAGTTTTAAGGCTCAAATAATTCACTGTACAACATAGCAAAGTGGATTCATTATATATTTTTTTAAGGAGAAACAAATTTGAGGCCTCAAAATTCCCTTTAATATTTGAATATAGCTATAAGTTTTATACCAATAGAAAAATAAAAATATTTAATATGTTATATTGGATTATGGGCAATGGAATTGTAAATATAATTGAAATAAGAGAGTACTCAGAATGGCATGGTGGATTTTATTTTCCACATAAAACGAAGGATTTAAGTAATATGATAAGCAATAACTATTAATAATTTCAAAATCTTAGATAAATACTTAACATTTTTTTACCCTTTTAACACTCATAAAGCATTGATAAAAGAAGGCTAAATTTAAAAATAATAATTACTTATTATTTTATTATTCTTCATAATTTAATGAATAATTAATAAAATAAATCATGAATAAAACAATTTTCATAAAGAGATCAGGAAAGGACACAATTTAATAAAAGAAAATTATACAAATACAATACAACCAGTAAGGTGACTTACCTACGGGCTGTGTGAGAGTTGTCCTTGTTTTTGTGACCATTTGTCCTGAAGGAGAGACAGAACGCAGAGTTTCCTTAATCTTAAATGGTTTATCCCCAGTTGCTGGCAGATCAGCTCCCTCGATCAACAAGAACTACAAAATGTATACAATTTCTTACTAATAAAAGACTGATTTGCTTAGAAGAACCAGTATATATAACAATAATTACATTTTAAGGCAGGTTTAAATAAAAAATTATTTAATAACACAGCCCTTATATTGAATAAAAAAAATATATATGAATACCATGAAATAAATAAGAGAAGATATAAAATGAAAAGTTATATCACAAAGGTAATGATTTGTATTATTTAATCGGATTCCAGTTATTTAAATAGTATATATTGAAATATGTCCAGAAGAAAATTAAATATAATGATTTTTTTTAATTTATTAATTTTAATGTTGGTTTCTAACACTAAGGATCATCGTAATTGGCATTTAGGATTAACTTATACTCTGTTATAAACTCCTATACTCTTCAAGAATTTGAACAGAGTGGAGACTTGCTCTTCATTATCTTGCAGTATTTCTCTTTAAATTTTTCAAATATTAGGCAAATTCAATGATTGGCAAGTTTTCCAAAATTAAAATCAAATAAATAATAAATGTTTAGGGTGAAGAAGAAAAGTTAGTTACATAAAGTTTACATAGTCTTCATCCGGCCATGGGTCAGAATGCATTTGTTTGTTCCGAAGCCTTCTCGAGAAAATATGTACAAAGGATTCAGGCCAGTATAAGCTTTTGTGAAAACCAGTTTCAAGTGAAGTATCAATATATCGAATTCAAGATTATGCATTGTAATCCATGTGTGGTCAGATTTACTATAGAGACTGAATCAAGAATCCATAACAATAGTAATTTATCTTTTTTATTTGTAAATTAATTTTCATAAACTTAGTTGTGGGATTAAATAAAATAATTAATGTACCAATGTGGTTTATTGAATCCTAAATCATTCATAGTCCACGAACTATTTAAGCCCTCACTCAGCGTCATTATGAAATAAAACCTTAAATTACGATTTTGGTTATATTTATTTTACAAATATATGAATAATATATATATATGTTATATTCTATTATATATATACTATATATATATATAATATATATATTATATCGATCGATCGACATCGACTTACAACCAGGGATGGGCAACGTGGGGTGATTCTTTTTTGGGCTTTGTGGATGACTTTGTGTGTTTTAATATTAATTTTCCGATTTAATTTTTTGTGTGTTTATTCTTTGTGTTTTTTTTGTTAAGGTTATATAATTGAACTAAAAATGTAAATCATGTGAAACTAGAAAAAAAAAAACAATTGTAAACAAATGTAATTCAATGTATCAAAGTCTTTAAGGCCATGGAGCATGAAGGAAAATCAAATAAACGATCCTTGTTTGGGGGTTACAGGTAGGGAAAAAAAAAAAAAAAAAAAAATATATATAGTTTATAATATATTGGAACGGCAAAAAAAAAAAAAAAAAAAAATATATATATAATATATATATATAATATAATATATATAGTATATATTATATATATTATATATATATGTACTATCTAATATTAATATATATTTAACAAACGGAAATATGATATATTGTAATGATTGATTATATACATATATTATAAGAACAGAAGAGATAAATAATAAATTTTTAACAGTACGAACATAGTTATAAATTATAACAAACGAATATGAATAGATATTTGTAATAGTAGGAATATATAAAGTATATAAAAATATATACATTAATTGTAACTACCTAATATAAATATATATATTAGCGATGGAATATATACATATATAGTAAAAAAAAAAAAAAAATATATATATATATATATATAATATAAAAAATTTAGATCATGCCATATAAAGGAAAACACTTTTTTTAAATTAATAACCATATGCATTTTAATCTTAATTTAGCAAGATCTAGCCTTAAAATTCTTACTGTAACTACTTAACTTACATTCTTATAGTTTTTGGTTCTGAATTTACAGAATTAATGTTCACAAACACTGATTCTAAAATAAGTTTAAACATAAAAGATATATTTTCTTAATTATATTTAAATTATAACACAAGATAATAAAATAATTTCAAGGAAATGCTACACAAAAAAGAAAAAAAAACACCATTCAAGATAAACGTCAAAAATGAATCATGTGAGTTCATCATTGTGTCATTGTTAACACTGCACATCCTTATTATAACAGTATGAACTAACCTCAACTGTTAACGTTCCTGAAACAGGTTCTTCATGGTAGGGAGCACTTTGAAGGGAGATTATCTGACGTTGACTCGGATTCGTGTACAACTCATCCATAGAAACGATTCCAAGACCGAGGAACTTGTTACCTCCTTGGAACTTATCGTAAACTTCTAAAAGTATTTCTGTAGTATGGTCTGTTATGTCACTAAAATCATACAGCATGGATTATTACCAACATAATCAGAATAATATGAAACTATAAAATAAAAATTACTTTTAGTACTAACAAAAGAAAATGTTCTTCCCAAGAGGGATTGTTGGTGTCTCTTTTTGCTGCTGTTTGATTTTTTTGAGCAGGTTCATCTACTTCAACTATGCAATATGGATCTTTGCATCCTAAAACAAAAAATAGAGAGTGGTATAATTAATGTAAGTCCATTTCAAAATACCAAAATTCCAAGACCATTTCAAAATACTTTATTAATATAGATTAACAGTACTGAAAATAACTCGGTGAGTATGATAATCTATTATCATTATCAGTCAAGATGCTCATTAGTCAGAAGAACTTAGCCTATTTCGAGATATAAAATAATTCTTACAAAGGGAAAACAATGACTTCTGACAATCAGCCACCACCAATGTATATATCAAAAGAGTAGATCATTTCTTTTTTTTTATTATTTCTTTTATTTTTATGTTAGCTTAAATTAAATTTTAAATTTTATCAAGTTTTAAGTTAAATTATGTTTTAAACAAATAAGAAAAGAAAGTGGAAAAAAAGAAAAAGAAACAATTCATTTAAAAAAATATACAAATATAATACTGTAGTGCATAAAACAAAAAGGGTTAATTTATGTGGCAGTGAATGCGCATTAAGGCAGTGTAAAGAGAGATAGAGAGTCAGATATTTTTAGGAGATTGAAGGGGACAGTGACTGGAAAAGGTGAAGAGATCTACGTGTGTTGGAGGAAACATAAGCTCTCTCTTCTCTCTCTCTGTAACTGCTGGAAGAAGCGGACTTATATGGATGAAGTCTTTAGTATTTTTGTACGTTATTCATATTTATATTAATTAGTAAATTTTATATTAGCTTTAGGTTAGTCCGTAAGTTCTTGTTGTTTAGTTATAAATCGTTAAGTTTAGGTTACTCCTTAGATTAATTTTTATTAATTATCTATAGTCAATTTTTTAGTTGGATATTTCATTGGGCTTTTTATAGTCTGTTCGTCTAAATTGTATACATCAATAATAAATGTTTTGATTTTGATTATTTATTAATAAAACATATGTTAGGTTGATAAAGTGGATACGTGAGGTTTTCACATGGTTGTCTATTTAAGACGAACGTTAAGACAACCATTACTACAATACCATCGGGATATATGAGTATTGAAATATCATAAGGAATATATAAAAGATGAATGTAAAGTAATTAGCATTAGATCAGCATGAATTAGCATCATTGAATAAGAAAAGCATAATAAATCAACAAATTTTCTTTATGAATTTAGCATTAATTATTAGTAGAAAATAATGTTCATACTGAGGGTTGGTGAAACCTAATATTTTTGCATTTATATGAAAATAGAAAGATTTTTTAAATAACCATGTAATTATACAATTAATAAAAATGCTAACCTTGAGATGCTCCAAGTCCATTTGCTTTGATGACTTTAACCAGAAGCCTCCTGTTCACTTTATCTCCGCCCAACTAATAAATTAATGCACAAGTTTTTATTAATTACATAAAATTACACTAAACTCTTTTATAGAGAATAGATTCATTAAAAACCTAATATTATAATTAAATTTACCAAAAGTTAAAGGTTCAAGAATAACAATGGTAATAAGAAAGAAATGGTAGTAAAATTGATATACATATTTTATGAAACCTTATATATATAAAAATTACATATATATATATATATATATATATATATATATATATATATATATATATATATATATATATATATATAAATTTAGATCATCCATATAAAGGAAAAAACTTTTTTTTAAAATCTTAATCTTTCTTTTTTCAAGATTCAGCTTTAAAATTAATAACCATATGGATTTTAATCTTAATTTAGCAAGATCTAGCCTTAAAATTCTTACTGTAACTACTTCCAAGAATCACTAAGGATCATCCAAGTCACAGCTTGTGACCATCCTTTTTCAACTCAGAAAGACAGGTAAAGGTAACAGGAAATAATGAAGAATAGTAGGTAAATAAAATATAAGTCTTATCTAAGTCTACAGTTATAATTATAGATTATATCTGAAAGTACAGATAACTTTGAACATAAAATTAAATGAATAATGACGAATAAGATAATTTTTTTTCATATAAAAACATTACATACGTAAGTAGTTTACTGATCATAAACAAGGACCGGATTTTTTTGAAATTGCTTATTTTGTGTGCAAGCAGTTTTTTAAACTGGTGATAGAATATCCACATGAATCAGTGTACCCTTGATGCAATTGATCTAATTTTATATTCATATTTTTGCACATTTGATGATAAATGCATATAATAATTCGATATTTGGATTATTTTATAGTAAAAACAAAAATTAGATTTAATAAATTAAAATAGAACATTGACGATGGAATTCCTAACGACAATTGACGGATTATTTTCAATCAATAAATAACAAAATAATGCCACCTTCAGTAATTGACTTCTTGGAATATGAATTTAGAAGGAAAACTGAATGATGTCGAGATCCCCAATGACAATAATATGAGTTTCACTGTTGAAGAAAAATTCAGAAAATACCAGGAATTTGCTATCGAATTGAAGGGACTAATACTAAATTCAACAGTGACAGGTACTGACAGCCTGGAATTATCTCTTGATGTGTTATGAGAGACACAGCAACCAGTCTCTTGGACATATCACGAATCGTTCGAAAATTTCTAAATATTTAAAAACAAAAAATAATATGAAGGTGGTTGGGCATGTCTCCCATTTCAGTTATTATGAGTCTCTTTAGAATAATACAATTGTGGGCTTAAGAGCATCAAAGTATTATAAAAATAACAATAAAATAAACAAATAGAAATATAAAAAAAATTATAAGTCAACTTCTAACAATAATAACTTAAAAAAAAAAAGATATATTAAAACAAACTAATAAATTATATACATGTTTACAGTAGAAGTTACTTACAATTGTTTGGTAACTGGATGGAAAGGAAGTGATTGAATAGGATTTAAAGGTGGGTTGAGTATTGGAGTGACAGACATAAGAGGCAATGGAATTTCATATGGACGAGGATCGGATAATGAAAGATCTGAAGACCAGGAGCAGATATTGGGTGAGTGAACAAAGGATTTGAACAGAAGGAGCTCAGAAATGTATAAGGAACAGTGGAATGGGATGACTTGATAGACGAAAGATGTCAGAGGTGGTGATGGCCATGCGTGTTGGAGCATTGCTCGTTTTAGGATCCTCGTGCCTAGTGACACCGGTTCGAATCCGGCCTGGGAGTGGTTGACTATTATTCCGTGGCAGACCCACAGGCTGAAATTTGACCCTCCCAATCCCACGGGCTGAAATTCAACCCTCCCAATCAGGTTAGAATATGTTTGATTGCACCTCTAGAACAACATCCTTCCTCCTCCTCCTGTATGCCAGAAATGGTGGATAGAGTACAATAAAAAAAAAATGATGAAAGATGTCTGAAAATATTTACAATGGTAGGAAGGAAGGATAAAGCCACTTCAACTCTTTACAAAAACGGGGAACAGAGGCATCCCTTGGGATCCAGAAGATGAATTGTACTAAATAGTTCATAAAAAAATTGAGTTTTACCTCGAGATCCCAAGAAACATTCCCATATACTGTACAGCAGTAGCCAAAGTGGGTAAATATCATGGAAGTGACCAGGAAAGTGATGGAGGTAATTTAAACATTTCGAGGTGGAGATTGAATGAAGGCGGGAAGAATAGGAATATTTGGAATTCATCAGCATATATATGGTATTGGAAATAATGGATCAGTAGTGGAAGGTCATTAATATAAATAGCAAACAGTGTGGGTAATAGAAAGGAGAACTGAGAGACAACACAGGAGAGGAGAAGTGTCTTGAAAGGAGGTTATCCTGGAACGATTACATGCTAGATTGAACTGAGAGAAAGGATTTGAACCAACGGAGGACACAGTTAGATTAAAGATTTTGTAGTTTAGTAAGGAGGATATTTTAGGCAAATGTATCAAATGATTTGGAAAAATCTAGAAAGATAAGAATAATTAATTATTGGTGTTCGATGGAGTTTTGGAAATCATGAGTTATTTTTAGGAGATCGGATTAGTGGATTTTTACTGCATAAACAACCGCACCCTGATCATAACGTATAAAGTAAGTAGTTACCAAGATAATCACTTTAAATACTCACCATGCTGTCATAGTGAAGAGGTAGGAGATGAGCTGGGCTGACAGGATGCCTAACCAAGCGAGGGCAGTTTGGATACTGACTGAGGTTGTAGTTGAGGCTAGTCTGGCGTAAAGCGGTTGTAACAATTTCACAAATAACATCTTGAAGTTGGCTCTCATCTAAATTATTTTTGATTGAACCAACTTGTGCCAATGAAACTTTTATCTAGAACAAAACAATCAGAAATTAGTCATGAAATATTTCTTAGTCTAGTTTATGTGGAAGAATGAAGATTATAAGAAACTCTGAGCTGATGATGGTAAACACATACATATGTACTCATTATTTTGAAATATCGTTGTGATCCTAAATCCCCAAAAAACCTTTATGTTATCATCTTATTGCCCTGAATGATTATACTTCAATTCCTGACAAATTATATGATGCAAGTGTATCTTAACTAAGTGCACCACACAAAATATTTAAAAAGTAATTTTTATTTTCAAAAAGAACATTAAAATTGTTCTTGTATTCCAAGGATACTGGAAGGATAAAAAACAGGAATCTCTACTAGCGCCACTAATATGAATAGTTTATATTCACTACATTTACATCTATATGGAATCTGTATACTACAGACCTTACAGACGACATTAAAAAAAAAATAAAAAAACCTTAAAAACCAAGTTTGGGATTCAGTACTCCAAAAGGAGTACTTTTTGTAGGTCAACAATTGTGCCAGGTTGTGATTTGACCATGAACATGCTCAACTAGGCTTTTCTCTCAATTAAATGTATCCACTTTATAAAAGTAGGATGTGCTTTAAGAGTCTCCTCACCCCAAAGTCACTCCATGGCTGATATATGGCACAACTGCCTTACCCACTGACCTATCCTCCTTCTATGAAATTGAAATATTTAGCTGAATTGACTTAATTCTAATCAAAATTTTATTCTATTCTTAACATACCTTTTCTGATTCCTAATTTATTTATCTCTTTATTCTTTGTGCAAGAACTCTATTCATAGAAAGCTTTTTAATTCATAATTATTTTATAAAATGACAATATTAACTACATAAATTACAGAAATATAATGTCATTAACTATTTCTGACATTTCATTTTATAAATTATAGGAGTCACTAATTACAAAAAAAGTGACTTTGAATAAATTTGATGTAGTTTTTGTCTACTTTATTTTAAAGGGCTAAAGAATCAAACCGTTTTCTTATGGCACTTTAGATGTATGTAATTCAGAGTCTTGAGAAATGGTGAGTTTTGAAGGAAACAACAACCATGCCATAAGTTGTCATTGAGAAAGAAGATTAGAGATATTTGATAATATTATGTATGAAATTTATTATATGTAAATAATTATTAAAATAAAATCAATTTAAGTAGCACCAACATTAGAAATAAAGATAAGCTTATTATAATTTATTTTAACAGTATTTCCAAAAATAATAATAATAAATAAACTTAAAATAGTATAGAAAAATAATTTACTTCATCTTTATAGTTATCATGCATTTAATCAGGAAACCAACAAACCTCCGGCCAGCCATCACACTTGATATCAACAAGAAGTTTTTCAGTGATAGCAACAATATTCAACCTGGCACGGAATCTATTAACATTAAGACGATAATGTGACACTTCCACTTTCTCACTTTTTTGGCGAAAAGCTTTTACCTGCAGCGCTGGTGTCGCTTCACAATCGCATGTGATTGTCTAAAACAAAGCAATAAATTTAATTAAACAAGGCTAAACTTTTTCTCCAAAAACTTTTTAAAAAATCAGTATTAAGTATTAATAAATATTTCAAGTGCATTAATAACTCAAGATGACATCAGAATGAGAATAAAATGTCAAGGTAGGATACTTCAAAATTAATTAAAACTTAAATACAAAATTATTTTGCTGTAGAAGGTTTAGGCTAGGGACCCGAACCTAGAGCTCAGCGGTATCAGTGTCTAACATAAACTTTACTGACAATCATCTTGGCAACAGTTTTACAATTTCCCATTGCAGATGGACAACTTTTCAGTAAATAAATATCCAATAATTTATTGCAAGTATGAGAGATTATTTTGAAAATAGTAATTTAATAAAATCATAGCATTTTCTGCTTTTATTTTATTTTATTATTTTTTTTTTATAAATAATTGTTATTGTTTTACGTGGCAATTGCATATAGAAGAGTTTTCAAAATTTCTTACAGATGTTTTTCTTAAACATGATATAAATATAAAATTCATGGAGATATAAATGAACTATTTGAAAAAAATAATTCATTTATTGATACAATAACAGCACTATTGTTTTGTTTAAACCCTTTATTTGGCAGTAAAAAAAAAATCAATGACACTGTCAGTAACACTCCTACTTCTGGAGATAATAAAAATGTTTGTTATGAAATGTATTTATTTCATTTTTTTGATATCCCTTACACTTTCTTTTTAAGTATTATAAACAGTGATCTACTTGCAATTCACATTCAGTATTTGCACTATATATATATAAAATCCTCGGTGCCCACCACCTAACACAGAACCTGTAAATGTGACTAAGGTGAAAATAGGTTGGGGACTTCTGTCATGTCAACTGTTAATACAAAAGGTCTTAAGTAAAAATTGAGTGTTTTACAGGAGAGCATAAAAACTGATCATTTTTATAAAATTTATTAGTATAATTTCATATTTTATTTTTCTCTGGAATTTTCTATAGCAGCACACTGCTAATAGCAGTTGCAGGCTGAAGAATAATGAGTTTTTTGCTCTCCTGTAAACCACTTAATTTTTACATACAACCTTTTGCCCTAACATTAGGGGTATATATATTATATTAAATTTTATATTGTATAAAAAATTTAATGAAATATAACTTTTATTCTTGAATATGAATTGGTATGAAAAAAAAAACACAGTTCGAGATGGTAAAGGTTTAGAATAGCCTAGCAATATAAATAAAGAGATGTTTGCAGATCAAGCCTAATATGATGGCTAGAATAAATAAATATTGTTAGCATAAATGGGAAAGATTGATAATTGAGAATTACAATATTATATAATGCAAAACTATTAATAAAGTCATTTTTGAAAAGGATATACCAAACTATTACAAATGATGACATCATCAGGAGGTGACCTCCAAATAAAGGAGAAAAAAAAAAAAGCGCTAGTGTGAACTGATAAATCTATTTGTACAATCATTAAATGTAGATCTTAGTTTAAAATGATAATATTTTTAATGAATGGGTTAAAGGTGGCAGACAGGTCAAGGCTTGGGAACTGTTTCATTGTACAATTTGATTTATCATCTACACTTTCAGATAACAGAAAAAATAACTATCTTCAGTAGTTTATCAGCAAATAAAAAAGGTTGATTAATTCTTTCTTAACATAGGAATTTCTTCAATAAATATTATCATATAATAATAAAACAAGCTAAATTTGAATAAAAAAAGAAAATATACATTTTAAATTTCACGATAGTATGATATATAACAAACTGATTTTTAATTTTTTTTATATTTAAAATTAAATTATGAATAATTATTAAAATATTTTAATAATCTTACAAATAAAAATTAAATCTGAATACAAATGTATTAAATAAAAAAAAAAAGTTTTATTTTTTAGTTTCATGATAGCATATTAACAAATTGGTTTTATTTTATTTTTTATACATGTTAAAATTGAATTATATATAATCATTAAAATATTTTAAATCTTGACTTAATGCAAATGTATCAAATAAGACTAAAAAACATTGTATATAATAAAAGTTATAGTAAAACAAAGAGGGGAAAACTTTTTTTTTAAATCAGAAACAAAAAAGTGGTCCTAGTTTTGGAGTAACTTTACTTTTCAAGATGTAAAGTTTCTCCATTTTATAGTACTACGAGAAAATATTAATGAGAACATGAAGTAAATAAAACAAAAATAGAATATTATTTTCATGACTAGGTATTTTTCTAAATTCTTCTTTTGAACTAAAATTTCATCATGATTTGCCTGAAGTTCGTTTTAAAATAGATTTAAAAAAAAAAATTATGCCATGCATTTTTGGATACTCAGACCAGCTCCCTGGTATGTTTCACACAGGCTTAAATAATTTTATTATTGTATTAATTGGGTCATATAAGTTATTATTTAGATATAAACTATGAACTAACAAAAATATTTGCTATTTGATGTTGAGTTACAACTTATGACTGAAGAGGTCGTAAAATATATATTTTTTCTAAGAGAAGGTGGGGAGAGAATGCATCTTGGCAATAGATGAGAAGCTCTTGGCATAGATCTACTAGACTAAAACTCCCAGGGGACACAAACTTTTACAGTTGGATAGCTCAAGGTCAGGATTCAAAAACATAAACTTAATCAGAGCCAGAGAAAACAATTTAGTAATGGAGCAACCTGCAGTTAGCATTACAACACAATTCATCACAGCAACATAAATTGATTTAAAATATTATCTAGCTTAAGAATAAACATGAAAATTGAAAATATTTATTGAAACTTTTTTTTGTTCTGCTTTTTTGAAAACTCTATTTACATTCCCATTAATTTAATACAAAAAATCTAAATGAATTTACATTAATTCAATTAGATCTTATAATTTGAAATAAGAATTAGATTTGTTAGTAAAAAAATTAACAGCTCCAAAAAATATAAAAATTATCATTTCCAATAAAATGAAGGAAAGAAATTAACTTACCACATCATCATTAGGAGCACATTCACAAAAGACATTGCTAACACTTGGAGGTGGAGTTTCTGGAAGAACCCGAACGAATTCTACACCAACACCATGCTGAAAATTATATTTTAAATTTATTACAAATAAATAAATAATTAGCAATAGGTTGTATTATAATCATCTTTCATTCTAAAACCTTATTACTACTTTAAAAATGTAATAATAATCATTCCAAGTCATTTGCACCGACTTATGAAAATTATTGGCGCCCAAAATATAGCATCATGGGATTAGATTTGGGTGGGGGTACTGTTTGGAATATATATCCTATATGCAATATATGCCTATATGAAAAATTACCATCTCATGAGGGTATCGAGTTGTTCCAAGCCATACTTTAAACCAATATATGATTTAATTTACAGTTTACATGAGTTAATGAATCCAAAATAGGACACCGTTTTTGTGACAACGAATTCTACTACATCTGATATTTGTTAGGTACAGTCCTTTGTAATGGAATTGTAATGTACACGATTAATATGTTCATGAAGTTCATACTACAGTAATTTGTTGAGCCAGGAGAGGGGGGGGGGAAGGGCTGTACCTTGGATGCATTCTCTAGTAATCAGTGCCTATGGTCCAAGTTTAAACAAAGTTTATCCACACTATCATACAATTTAATATAATGTAAAAATAAAATACTACAAAAAATTAAATTATAGAAAAATTATAAATGAAAGAGATATGAATAATTAAGTGTCCATGAATACTAATAGGGATTGAGACCATGACATAAATAAACTGATCTTGCACTAATTTATGTAAATAAGAAATTTAAAAAAAAATGTATTAATCTTTGGTTCTAAAATAATTGATCACCCTACAAGAACATGTCAACTTGAAAGATCCAAGTATAAAAACAGTTAAGTATATGTACTTGAGTGTATAGGTAGGATTTTAATTTCTGTTTTTGAATAAACAATCTTATGTAGGTAATTCATATTTTTTTTTGTGCGATCTTAATATAATTATTAAATTTAATCAATATATGATCAACATTTATATAAAAAAGACCTTTTCCTATCCCACAATTTTAGTTCTAAAAAAAAAAAATTTTAACAAGGATTTTTATTTTACCATTTCAGCCATAAAAACCATTTTCAAAACCATTGCAAAAAAACTAAAACAAAAATATCATGAAAACATCATTTAATTAAAAGATATATTTTTTGTTGTTTCTGATTCTTTAAAACATCCACATATTTTTTTCTTTCATAAGATTTTATGAAGGGAGATAAGAGCAATTGCCCATTAAAATAGGTTTCTCTATTTTTAACAGTCTTATTTACATTAGTATATAGAAAAAAGAGAGAAAAAAAAACAAAAAACAAATAGAAAGCTTCTTCCTTTAACATACATTATTTATTAAGAGCAACCGAACTGCTGACAGATATGTAACTAATGTTGAGAGGTAGGATCATAACATTTAGTTATTAAAAAAATTGTAAAATTATGCAGGTAATTGTTTCTAATTCCTTGAAGATTTGATATAAACTCAATTGAGGAGACAAGATCAATTTTTCAAAAAAAAAATATATAATGAATAAAATAGAAATAATTAAATTCTATTAAAAATTATATAAACAAACAACAATTTCAACTTGTAAATGCAATAATAAACTTCTCAAAGATATCGCAGAAATATAAATAATTAAACAGTCGGTATAAATAATAAGACAAAATAAATTAATGAACCACAAAGGAACATTGCATCCTAATGGCAACCCCATTTTCCAGTGGATTATTTTTTATATAACCTAGATGCATAAAAATAAACTGGATTTATTACCGAATAATCATTAAGTGACTGACATTCCATAAAATTAAATAACTAAATTAATTTTCAAAGACTTTTCCTCCTGAAATCAGAACATTATGGACTTAGTGTAAGTATTTTTTAGACATAAAAGTCTTATGTTGATGCACTCACGATGTTTTTGCAAGGATGAATAAGATCAAAATTCACAAAATGAACTTGAAAGTTTAGTGCTACCAAAAATGTACTAAGTGACTTCTTACAATAAACCAACCATGTTATGCATTCCTGAATTGAGGAAATAAAAAATAACTTATATACCCTGAGGAAAAATAAATTACAAAATCATTTTGATTGAAAATGATTAAATAGTATTATAAATTTCTTTTCTAAACAATTTCAATAGAAGAATATATAATATTATAAAATATAAATCATATATTTAATCATTATTAAATACATTTATTTTATTTTATTATGCAATAAACATAAAAAATGTATTAAATGGTTTCCAATAGTTTATAAATAAAATGGTCAACGTTTAAAAAATAAATACAGGCCAACAACCAAGATATGATTTAATGAATTTAAAATATTTAGTTACGTTTTAATTTAGTACAACTTCAACCCAAACATTAATTGTTTTAAATTTTGATATATAACTACAATATCGAACAGAGTTGATATTATTTTAAAATTAATGAGTAAATGAAAGGACAAAATTAGGACAAGGTTCCCTTAGCCATGGCATCCCCAGATAGTCAAGGTAAAGTAATTATCTGTAAAAATGACATCATTGACTGAAAAAATAGATCCTTAAATAGACAGAAGATAAGTAATTGAAGTATCAGGTCTAAAATAAAAGACCCATTGCTGAGATATTAAAAATAAAATAATACATAAATAAGATTTAGGTAGATGGGGGAAAAATCAGCACGCAATATTAGTATAATTATTGATACAACGAACAAGGTCTCCACACCCATTTAATTTTGAAATAATAGCAGGAAATGACAAAAGCATCAATCAATGATCTGAGGCATGAAATTGAGTTTAGAATATGACAGTGACATCCAGCAAAGGTTAAGGTAAATAAAATAGTGTTTATATCTATGATGTCACTAAATAACCCTGGAGGGGTGACCTCATTATCACTAAAGATAAGGTCATCCAGATGCTTAGGCAGATAGGTAACTACTCTGTTTGGCTTAGTGATCTAATTCAATTTCCAAATCTTATATGAAAGAATCAAAAGATATACTACAACATATAAATTTGTTTAAACTGTAAACAAATATTTACGAAGTTCATTATAGTTCATAAAAAAATTAAAAACTCCTTGGCTTTAATTTTCATGTCACTGTCATTACTATTCACTTACTTAACTAAATAGCTATAAAATTAACTTCAAGTGAAAAGTAACTCATCAGAAACATCAATCTATAAATACTTTTGTTTAGAATTTCAAACAATATTTTTCAATTTACTTTATAAGCAAAATAAAATCTATCTGTATAGGATTTAAATGTAGCCTTCCTGAAGTGTTGACAATCATAACAGTAAACCTTACTTATCATAAACAGCTCTGCTTATCAATAAAATTTGTCATAATATTTTCTAAAAATTATAATATGCTTTTAAACATAACAACAAATTCATACCTCGGCTACAGACTTCTTCGTGAATTCATTCAATGACAGAATCCAAGCATTAAGAAGTTCATTCACAACCACTAGATCAGTATAAAGCCATAAAAATAATTCATTCACCCACTTGACACTTTCACTTTCAGCACCAGTAGCTGTTGGAGGAGGATGGGTCATAGAACTTGATTTCGATTTGACAAGTCCTGTCGGTCGAACAACACCTGCACCGGATTTGGAACCAAGTCTCTTTCGCACAGGAGGTGTTGGAGGAACATATTTTCCACCAGATGCAACTGGCTTGGAAGATTCTTTAACAAGGGGTTTAGTAGAATCAGTTGTACTGACATCAGTCTTTAAAACTGGGGTTGTCACCTCTGAGGTGTCACTTTTTTCTTTCACATCTTTAGTCCTAATAAATCTAGCATAAGCATATCGTCCTACCCCTAACACTATAAGTCCAACAAGCATCCACCCAAACATATACATCGCGATTGTATCCATGGTTGTGTCACTACCTCCTTCAAATGTGCAGATGAGATCGTCAATCTTATCCGCCAAGTCTTCCATGCTCCTCCATGCTTTCGACACCCAGTTCCAAATCGGTATGGGAATGAGATCAGCCATACCTAAATATAACTCTGGCCAGAGTTGATATAGCAGAAATAGAACGACCGCCCTGGCAGGTATCGAGTTTCTCGTAGAGTGTGCCAAGAGCCGGCCCTAAACAGATGGTTGGCTGATCTCAAACACTCTAGTACACAAGAGACATCTGACGGTGAAAGATGTCAACTATTCCCTGATAGAATTCATCAATCGCAGTAGCTTTAAAAACACTCACTAGGTGGCTCTATATTCAATTTTATATTTTACATGAATAAAATATTTTGCCTGTATTTTAATAGTTAATTCCTATTGTGCCTCATTTTTACCAAATATGTCTAAATTGAAATCGTGCTCTTATATTTAAAATCATTAAAGTCTTCTTCTTTAATTTTATTTTTGGTTATATTTTATTCTTTGTTAATGAGCAATTTACAGTTTTATTTTTTACCGAAATGATAACATTCCACATTTTCTAAGATCACTGCCAACCACCTGTGAACAATGTAGCAAAATAAATTTTTTAATAATGACAAAAATTTTTCCATTTTTTTTTTTTTAATTTTGACTTTTCTTATTTGATTTCTATTCACACATAAGTTTATGCCTTAAGGTCAGTTTAATAAATTTCCCAAAACGTTCAATTAATAACTATAAAAAGTTAATTTTGATTTTTACTCAACTGACCTTAAGGTATACACTTAAGAGTGAAAGATAGTATAAAAATAATTAAAAGTTTTTTAAAATTTTATTTTCCTTACTAAAATTTGGAAAAGTTGACAATCAGTTCCATGAAAGAACATATTAATTATAGTTAAATCAAACTATAAAGAATTTCAATTTATTCTAAAGAACACTGTTTTTCTTCAGTATTTATAGTTTCTTTTGGAAATGATAAAAAAATAAATTATCTTGTATTTTATAGCATTATTTACATTTAATTACTTTTCAAATTAATTACTAAATCAAACTAATTACTAAACCAAAGCAACAAATGATTTAGTAAAAAACATTGAAGTCATAAAATTGTGATTAATAGAATTTGTAATTATTTTAATAAAATTTGAATTAATGTAGAGTCTAATAATAATGGTATTAATTTTTGAAAATTAAATATATTTTCTTTTATTACAAATTTTTGATGAAATTCAAGGAATCTGTTGCTATTAAAAAAGGGATAAATTACTTCTTGAATTGAAAAAGAAAATGAAATGCAAACGAAAATAAAAAGAAATGAAAAAAATGGAACAAAGTCTCTTCGAACAAAATTGAATGAACATTACATAGAGGTCAAAGCAGTGTGGCCGTATTGTTTTTATATTAAATGTAAATTTGTACTCATTAATAAAAATAAAAAAATAAGTGAAAATATATCACAGGAACAAAAACAATTTCACCCTTCGACTGCAGGTGGGATATATGCGTTCCCGTTAAGAGTTGGGTCACTGGTGCAGACGGGATATATGCCTTCCCGGTAGTGAGTTGGGTCATTGGTGCAGGTGGGATATATGCGTTCCCGCCTGGGCGGTCGCCACTTGAACAGGTAGGGGCATGCTTCCACCTTCACCATTTTTCACATTAAACTTGTGGTTTGGTCGGTGCATTTATTATTTCCCTATAGCTAACTCAGTGCGGTCGTTCCAGATTCTGACCAAGTATTCTGACAATTTGGAAGCTATCAGTTGTAGATTTATTCTGAACCCAAGGTATGTCCTTTCTCTGTTATTTATGTCAAATCCATGATCTTATTTATATTCTATTTAAATGCTTTATACATAAAATAAATGTCAATATGTTAATTTTATAATTTTTCTTTTTTTGTATTTTCTTTTTGACTGAATGCTGATTTTGGGGAATCTCTGTCAACTAAAAAAATAAATGTAAGTTTCCTACATAATATGTATATGCAATGTAGATGCTGGAGTAGCCGTGCGGGCTAAGGCGCTTGCACTATGTAATAAAATAGAAACTTTATTGTAAATAGAAACTACTGTAAATGTGTATATATATCATTAGTTTATTTTCATCTCATTGTTCTTTCATTTATTTATTTTTTTCTTAATTGATTTAATTTATAAGATAACTTTTTTTCTCTTTATTCTCTATTATATCTATTATCTAACTTTCTAAATACATGTATATATATCTGAGGCTCAAAAGCCCACATTTCTGTCCTTGTTAATTATTCTAAAGGGATTTGTCCCAGAATAAATAAAAGGATTATTATTATTATTATGTAACCAAGTTAAGCAACGCCGAGCGTGATTAGCACTTGGATGGGTGACCCCCCCCCCCCCCCAAAATCCCACCATTCTTGCATTTTGTTTTTTAGAAATAATATAATTTGTTTTTATGATTACTTACAGTTATTTTTGTGACCGTTTTCAGTTATTTGGCTTTTCAAAAATGAGCAAATACTCAAGAAATAGTAGTGTTGTGAGATTGCCGCTCTAATTTTACATTGCATGGCCAGGAAGCCATATATCCCGTTTTTTAAAAGTTGAACAAAAACTTTAAAATGCATTTTTAATGCTAGAATCTCGCAGGGTGACTCAAACTAGCATTTTAAACAAATAAATGTAAAAAAAAAATTTTTTTTGTGGACATTTGTGGATTTCAGGATGCAACGTATGGTAGAAACTTGCCAATGAGCTCCCGTAGTCAAATGGTTAAATAACAACTAAAGCAACAAAAATAAAATGAAAGATAAATACTTGGAAAATAACATAAAACAAATTCTGAGAAACATTTGAAATAAAATAATAAGCAATTTCACACAAAGTAATTTTAATCAGTCTGGATGAGGAAAAAGTGGTCTTGAAAAGAAGAGGTTTGAACACGGGAATTGTTAATACATAATCTATAGTAGGTCGGATATGGTTTCAGCTACCTATGGTTCCAGAGGGAGGCAGCTTGATAAGGAAGAACTTGAAGATGTGATGGCCAAGCATGTTAAAGCATTAACTTTAAGGAAGAGAAGGATGGTTGGGGTGATCAGTCAGAAATAAAAAGGCAAAAATAAATAATAATATTTATTTTAACATTTGCCGACGTTTCGACCTGAAGTTCAGGCCTTCATCAGGGCTGTTCAAAGAGGGCTGTTCATTCAAGGCTGTTCCACTCTATTCCAGCAATCACTTGGAACAACCCTGATGAAGGCCTGAACTTCAGGTCGAAACGTCAGCAAATGTTAAAATAAATATTATTATTTATTTTTGCCATTTTTATTTCTGACTGATTACCCCAACCATCCTTTTCTTCATTATTCACGACAGTCAATCATCAACCCTCAATCATCAACTTTAATATTTCCAGTTTAGCAATGCCAGTTGGAATTCCTCCTGCGGAAGGTTTGAAATTTATTTTGTGGCGAATGAATCTCAACCCTCCCACTATGGTTAGAATATGTTTGGATGTACCTCTATCACCATATTCCAGAAATGGTGTGGTAGGAGGTAGTAAAAAAAAAAAGAAAAAGAAAAAAAAAGAGCTTGTCGAATACAGCAGTTCTATGAAGAGGATATAAGTCAGATGGATGAGATCAAGTAGGATGGCATTGAATGGAAGATTTAAAGTGTAGGCTCTGTAGTATAAAGTGAGGTACTGAACTCTGATATCTTCATATAGCAAAGATACAAGAAAATAGTAACACCTGTAATGTGGGTAAAACCACTTTAGCTCAACATAATACTGGGCTACATGCTTATCCTCGGCACTCCTGAAAACCAATTTAATCAAGCTGTACATGAGCCATTTAAGCAGGAGTAAGAACGTTTATGAAATGTTCCATTTTAAAAGTTTCTGTGTAACTTTTAGGAAAAAATGTTTTTCAAATAGAAATTTTAAGGAACTTTTTTGTAATAAATTCTTGGTTTATTGTAAAAGTATAAATTTTCAAAGATAAACTTAACTTGAGTTCTTAAAAAGTTAATGAGCAATAAACAGTTATTGTGTTTAGATTAGTGTTGTAATTTATTCAAAATGAATTACTTAAGTTTCAAGTGTTATCATTTTGAGTAGCTAAGCTTAAGTAATTTTTTCAATAGACTTTTTGGACAAGTTAGCAGAACTTTTAAACAAAAGTATTTAAAAATAAAAGTCCTGTAAAATCTATTCATGAAAACTTGCAAGGAAAAAAGGTTCTAGATCTGAAATAACAGAAAAAAATTGGAAATAGGTTTCAGTGACACCGAAACTGACAAAAAATAAAAGTTAAAATTTCATTTGAAGCCATTTGTTTGAATCTTGGTTTAAGTTCACCAGAGAGTCTGCAGTATAATGAGCAGTCATAGTCAAAGTTGGGGAACACAAGGAATATGATTAGTCTTCTCATGATTTTGAGAAAGCATTTAAACAAGAAACATTCAGTCATTGGAAACTATTCCAGAAAATTCATTGATATCTATTATACTTCTGTTCATTCATCATTTTTTTAATTAAGTCATATTCATTATTGCGTCATTTTTATTTTGCTAATTGATTAATTGAGAAGCTGAGGTATGATCTTCTTAGATATTTTCAAAGAAGAACCTGAAAAAAATTATGATGAAAAGATCAAAATAAAGTTCCCTCTACTATATAAAATTTTTTTTCAGTGACTGTCATATTTTATTTTCCAATCTCAACAAATTAAAATGCTGGGATTCTCTCTATTATATAAGAAAGTTTTTAGTGGCCATGTAATATTTTATTATTTAATCTCAACAAATTAAAATGGGATTCTCTCTATGATATAGAGTGCCCTGTAAGTAGTGGGAAATCTTTATCATGAGTCATTTTTGCTGAAAACATCGGTTCTTTTAAGTGACAGGATGAAAAATCACAGGATTTTTTTATACATATTGAGGTGTATCTCAAGATCTTTTCCATTAATCCTCAACTTAATAAGAAATTAAAGCAGTTTTAATAAAAGTGGGGTATCTCCAGAATATTTGAATGGTGAAAAAAAAAAAATTGAATAATTCATAATTGTTTTAAAAACTCAACTTTGCTTAGTTTAGTCTCAAAGTCCTCTTTAATCGGTTTTAAGAATGACAAACTCAATTTTCATTTGAAGTAATTTTTTTCTAGTTCATAGAGAAGCAATTTTTTATACATAAATTACTACCTTTTCTAGAAATATTAGCAAATATTTAACATCTAGTATTTTGTCTCAGCCTGCTATAGTATTTTGTCTGTTCCAGAAATGCTAATATCTCGTACATAGAACTTTGTCACAATCTTGTGTTTTTTTTCCAACCAATTACAGAAATACTTACTAATAACTAAACCAATATTTCTAATAGTACTGTGTATGGCACCAGAATGGGGATAATAAATATGATTTTTTCTACCTATTATCATAAATAGATATTT